GATCACCGGACAGTGTGCGGCAACCGGTTTTGCGTCAGGGATGGAACTGTCAAAGAAAAGAAAAAGCATGAGTACACCTGCCCGCATTGTGGTGACCTGGTCGCAAGCAATGTCACGACGGGACAAATTAATCACCGGACAGTGTGCGGCAACCAGTTTTACGTCACCGCTGGAAAGGTGAAAGACCAAAAGAAGAACGCGCAGAAGACGGTAGGCAAGAAATAGCCCAGAGAGGCCGTTGCGGACCACGAGAAAAAGGGAAATGGTGTGCCACAGCCCAGCAAGGGCAGTTTCGGCCACTAAAAAAAAAGGAGTTGGTGCGCCAGAGCCCCGAGCCGACAGTCTGTGCAACTTCGCCCACAGTCTCGCACAGAGCCCAGAGCCCACAGTCTAGCAAGTGCGAGGTTTTGGAGCGTCTGAAGCGTCCAGAATCCAGAAGTATATGGCAAAACCATTGGCAATTTGTCGAGGGGTTTGAGGGGTTTGAGAGGTTTGAGGCGTGTGAAGGGCAGTTTCGGGCCACTAGAAAAAAGTATTTGGCGCGCCAGAGCCCCGAGCCCACAATCTGCGCAACTCCGCCCACAGTCTCGCACAGAGCCCAGAGCCCACAGTCTAGCAAGTGCGAGGTTTTGGAGCGTTTGAAGCGTCCAGAATCCAGAAGCTGGCTGCTCCAACGGCCAGTATGGCAGAACCATTGGCAAGGTTCGAGGGGTTTGAGGGGTTTCAGGGGTTATGGCACAACCATTGGCAAGTGTCGAAGCGTTTGAGGGGTTTGACGGGTTTGAGGGGTTTGAGGGGTTTGAGGCGTTTGAAGGGCAGTTTCGGGCCACTAGAAAAAAAGGATTTGGCGCGCCAGAGCCCCGAGCCCACAGCCTGCGCAACTCCGCCCACAGTCTCGCAGAGCCCAGAGCCCACAGTCTGGCAAGTGCGAGGTTTTGGAGCGTCTGAAGCGTCCAGAATCCAGAAGCTGGCTGCTCCAACGGCCAGTATGGCCCACAGTCTGGCACAGAGCCCAGAGCCCACAGTCTAGCAAGTGCGAACTTTTGGCGCTTTTGCTTTCGGGCCCAGAAAAGTAAGGATTTGGAGAGCTCAGGTTCCACACCTTCGGTGGTCCCAGGCGCCGCCCCTGCCTTCGCCAGAGCAGGGGTCGGCGGATATCCTTTTTGCCATGCGCAAGAACAGACATAACCAAGGCAACATGCGCACATGTTGAGCCGAGCAACATATAGGCTTTCGTTGGCCCGTCAATCGGGCCCTGAATACCCCAGTTTGCATGGTTTCGGCGGGCCAGCCTTTGGTCCCATTGTGTGCAGATGGAGTCAAGTCATTTGGGTACTGATAGCTCCGTTCATCCTTTGGTCCAGTGCTCCTCTGGTTTGCTGAAGGTTGGCCATTGGGCAACGTTCTGACGAGGGTGTATTAATGTTCTGAATCGGTTCTGAGTTCTGGCCAGCATTTTGTCCGTGAAGGGGTTGATCGAACATGGCGTCGCTTCCTCGCCCTCCAACCCTTGATTTCTAGGTTTGCTTGCGTTGCTACTCCGACCCCAGGCTTACCTACTGTATACCAGGAAAACGTGCATTTTTTATCATTTTGTTGCCATGTTCTTTGTGTATTTTGTGTCAGAGTTGTCTACTTTTCTTCTTTGAGGATGTGCGAGTAGTCACTCCTCCCCTGTACTCCTCCATCAGCTAGCCACACTCAAATAGAGCTGACGTTTGTGTTGCGAAGGTGCCTTCAGTTTGTTGTCTTTTCCACTATGTGCAATCCACTTGTAGACTTTGATTGGCGGCTTTTGGGCCCTTGTCTTCATTGCTGGGAAAACGCTGTGGCCTCTCCACTGCCCCATCCAGCTTTCTAGCTACTGTATCTATATAATTCTGTATGCACTCTAAATCATTCAAGTGAGTATATGCGTATGTGTGCCGTGTGCCAGTTGTTTGCATAAGTTCTGGTACTCCAGGGCTGTGCGGAGTCAAGGGCTTTTTTGGTTGCCATTGCGACTCTCGTGTTCACTGGAGAGAGAGAGAGAGAGTGTGATTGACAAAAAGCCAACACCGGCAGAGGTACCCAGTAAAAACTCAATCGAGACCACATGCAGGCAAACAAGTACGCAGAGCCTCTCCCAATAATATCCCCAACCTGGCAGCATGCGCCTCCACCTTACCTATTTAGACGCATGGACTGAGACATGAGAGAATGGAACGTCGAAAGTAGGAGCTCGCAAAATTCGGCTGGTGCACACAATCTTGGAGCTGCACTTCAAACACCTAGGGGCAACGACTTGTTGAACAATCCAGGGTAAGGGTGCTTCAAAGTTTGCCATCAAAGAACATCGTGAACTCAATCGGCCCATATAAAATATCGATGTGTAGAACTGTAGAACATTATAGAACGAAGGAGGGCAAGAGAACAGAGCATGCGACATACCAACAGAACTTGAAATAGTGCGAGGCAAATCGGCATCCTAGGGCTGATTTTATGCGCTCTATCGTAAATGGTGGGTGGCCATGTACCAAAAGCATCATCAAGTTTCATTTGATGTTCACGAAGCCCCGTCCAGCGATACAGCATGACATATGAATTTGAGGTTTGCTTCAGGCCAGTCCACCCAAGGAGTGTTCTGGAACGCTAAGTGGGCCGGACCAACAGGCAAATCCTCATCCCTGGAATCTTCCACTCAACTCACGATTGACAGCATCTACGAACCGTCACAAATCGTCACAAGCTGAGTCCTACTAGGTACTAGCGTTAAGTCGACTCAGCTTGTGTAAAGTCGACTCAGAACCGTGTGCCCTTGCAGAACTGCACTCCACAGGGACGCCTAAGCATAGATTGTATTGATCTATAACACATGCTCTGTGTTGTGCCCATGGTGTGCCTATTTTTGAATTTGTTCTTTGGGCGAGGGCAGCTTCCACAGGGGTGAAGGGTCACGGATTCGTGACAGTTTTGATGCAGAGCTCCTTGGGCCCATGCCACACAGTGTGCACACAGCGTTCCTTGAACATATCACCTCCGCGCCGTGCTTATTTTCCAAGTGTGCCCATTGTGGCTTGACCAAAAGGAGTCGAATTCACGCGACGTGGGTGGACTTGAGTACACCGCTGGTAGAGTTTGACCATTCATTCATTATTATACTAGAATTGAGTAACTACAATATAATAATTACAATAATCATTATTACTATGTCAGAATTCCTCTACCGTTCCGACTGCTAGAGTTTGATACTTTTATTGAGGCACATCTCCCAGGCTTCTTGGCCTTTTGGTTGCTCAACCCAGCTTGGGCGTTTGGAAACACCGTGGCGTACCCAGTTGTCCCATGAGCGCTTGTCAAACAATGCGCCTCACAGGGCATTAAGGTCCTGTATGCATTTTGGGCAAACCCAGCCTTGCAAGACTTGAGACCGTTCCAACTGAATCAACTTGGAAAACATGAGAGAGGGCGATTATAATGAAAGGAGCATGTTTTCAAACACGTGCACTCCCAGCATTTTGTTTCAGTTTTTGATGCTGCATCTCACGTTCCGAAGGCGAGAGGTCACGCCTGGGTGTTGACCTCATCCATCACTTTTCGGGGTCATGGTTGTTTTCGTTGGGGCTGCAGGCCTGTTGATGGACGTGGATTGATGCCATTACACAATTGTCAGGAAAGCTAGCATCAACTAGCTGGATTTGCTCTTACTTTTGCAAGAGTTTGGCTGGTGGGCGATATTGCCGGGGCCCCCTTCCCCGGGGGGTCGAGTCCTTCGTGCCTTCCTCACCTGGCCCTGCTAGCTGCTAGCTTTCATCACCAACCCCTGGCCTCAATTTGCCTAAGGCCCGGTGAATACGAAGCAAAACCTGGTGCTATGCAAGATGCACAGACTGTGAGCTTTGGGTAACACTTCTCGCATTTTCGAAGCAACATTGTTACAGAAGGCCGACTTGCGTTCAGACTGAAGGTTTTCAGATTAATATTATTATCTCAGAATTTAGGCCCGACCACCAAGTTCAAGGCAGATATCTCACATCGTTTCACTTGAGGGGGCCGAAGAAGCCAAGAAACACAATACCGACACAAATTATGATAAGTCTACTTATCTACATGCGTCTAATATCTGGACAAGTTCAGGGTGGCGGAGTTAAACGTTTTGGATGAAAAAGTTCAAGCCCTTATATACATGATTATACATGTAACATAGATACATACTCTACTCTGCACATATATATATATATAAGTAGTCTATTTGTGCATTCACTAAAATACTAACATGGCTCTTGCATGGCTCAGAATTGTTGACGCAACAACTCACCACACCACAAAAGTAGTTTTGGCTGAAATTGGAAAACTGCGATGAGTGGTCCTGATCCCTGGGATGCCTTGGATGATGAAGTTGATTCCGACTGGGAGGCGCGAAGCAGAAATCTGCATCCTGAGCCTTTCCCGTCAATGCAACACAGATCAATGGTTGTGACATGAGTGGAATTCTGAAAGAAAAGATGCAGCATTCAACAGCGCTATAAATATGTGTTGGAGCAGGAAGTGCAGGTCGAGCGCAGTGGAGATGAAGCAGAAGAGGTTGAAGTGTCACCAGAGGATGAGGAATACCAGCTTGAAGAAGAGTTCCAAGACCAGCTGCAAGACGCTCAACGCACGTTGTTTTGATGTGTGTGTGTTGTGGTCAATGAAGAGTGCTGTGACACTGCTAGCTGCTTGGTATAGTCAAGTAATGTCGAGTATCTTGGCCTCACTGAGAAAAAGCACGACGGGCACGGTAGCCCTGACAAACCAAACTGCGACAATCTATACTCCTACCTAGAGCGGCACAATATATGTGTTTTTGTGTGGTTTTCTCCAAAATGTCGACCCATCGGAGGTTCTTGACAAACACATTTGATGGGATTTACGGGGTTGAGCGCTTCACTTGAGAAAACATATTTTCAATTCTCAATGTAGGATGCCAATAATCTGGTCTTGATGCAGGTCAGAATCAGTGTCCCTTTTCTCCACTGAAGGAAGAGTTCGAAGAGCTGCACCACTTGGAGGTGGAGGAGAAGATATGCAAAACAATGTACTGTAAAACAGAAGGGGATGACAAAATGGTTTGCAGATTGCATGCAGTTTCAAGGCTCATGGCTTTGGCATGTGAACAGACAGTCCAAAGTTCAAGCCAAGCTAATATCCTGTTGAGTTGGCTGCTTTTCTTCAAGGAAGAAAAAGGAGAATCAGATGACGAAATTGTCCCTGGTCGAGAATCTGACCTCAAGCTGACAGACGTGCCAGAGGACATGCGGGAGGCTGTTCAAGGCTCATGATAGTCGTCATGTTCTTGTGGTTGTGGTGGTGGTGGTAGTAGTGTTGGTGGTGGTGGTGGTAACAACTTGCCGGCACCGTTTGAACTTTGTGGAACATTTTGCAGCGTAGTAGCTGATTGCAGGCAGCCTCAGCTTAAAGCGGATCCTCAACGAGAAGTACGGCAGTGTCATGTTATAATTTGGCAGGGCGAAGGGGAGGCTGTGACGTTTGGACTCAGCCAAGTTTTGTTCCCCACCACCAGATGAGGGTTTTTAGATTTCTCAGAGCTGTCCTCTCCTCCTGCTCCTCCTCCTCCACAAGTTCCAGATCGATGTGGGCACCACCGGACTTCAACCACGAGTGCCAGCTCGCAGTGGGCACCACCACACCTCAACCGCGAGCGCAAGATCGCAGTGGGCACCATAGGATCTCAACTGCAAGCGTTGGAGTGCAGTGCAGTGCAGTGGGCACCACCGGACCTCAACCGTGGGGGCTAGATCGCAGTGGGCACCGCTGGAGCTCAACCGCGAGGGCTAGATCACAGTGGGTAATGCCGGACCTGAACGAGACCGAAGGAATGCTGGAATACAGAATACATGTCAAATGACTTTCGGAAAGTTGGCCACACAGATAGAACGCAGAACGGGTGCCAGAAAATGCGCCCGATAGACTGCCAGAGCTCTAGCCAGATAGACGATTATTAGATTGTTATGGAGTGAGAAATATACTTCCGATTGAATGCCAGAATGCATGCCAGGCAGAATGCCAGAGAATATTCCAGCATACTTACACGCCAGATAGAAGTGGCCAAGATAAATTGCGCACAGAATGCCTGAGTAAATTAGAATGCCGGTATGTATGCCTGATAAATCGCAAGTATAAAAACCAGATGAATTGCAATATTATCTACCGGACTGTACCGGTACATATGCGAAACACGCACTTTCATGTTGGTGTTGACGCAGCGTAGCCGTTTTCAGCGAAGTCGAGTGCCATGGTGGAGATGCCTCGAAGTAAGTGATCGCTAATTTTTGTATTTTTCATATGCACATATAATTGCATCCGCACACGCAGACAAAAAATGAGGTTTGGACGAAACTGCCAAGCGAAGGCGCCTTGACAATGAGGAGTTCCAAAGCCCAAAGCCAGTAACATCAAACAGTTTTTGATTCAGACAGTTTTTGTTTCTTGGTGTGTACTAAGCGCGATGACATGTCCACAAAAGAATTTTTACACTGTATACAGTATACATGTTTACGGTGTAAACCGCAAAAGACAAAAGGGAAAAGGAATGATAAACAAAATTTAAAGAAAACAATACACATAGTTGAGCACGTTCTGTTTGAAGTATTGATTCATGAGGAGCCTGAGATGGAACCAGAGCGACAACAACTGTTGGAACGCTGGAAGTTGGTGAAAGACCCGGCAGCAAGGTGGAGAACTGAGAGCACAGCTACTGCACAGACAAGACATTTTTGTTCGAAACAATCACTTCATTTTTGTTCATGGCCATCAAGGTACGTGATCCAGACAGCCAATTCTGATGATGTGCTGGACGTCAAGAACACGGAATGGAACCCCAGTTTGAAGGCGGATAGAAATCCCTCTTTTGTATTGACTACAGTGACATGGCCTTAGGGGCACACACACGCACAGCCAGCAGATGAGTTGACATTTCTTGTGGTCGAATGTGCTCTTTCTGTCCAGGGCGTGACTATGCGAAATGGTCGGGACCCAAAGTCGCCTGCGGAGCAGGTTCACGAAAAGTTCCTTTTCGCCCGGGAGCGACGCTTGATCTCCGGAAGCATGGTGAACGTCATCGAAGCATGGAAAGCGAGGCGCAACCCCAGATTATGCTTTCGGCGCGTCAGCGCAAAACATGAAGAAACAAGTTGTGCCCTGGAGGTGGAAACTTACCGATGAAGATGTCAAGGGTCTGGCTGATGCAAGCCACAAAGATCTTCGAGCCATGTCATTGACATTGGTTTGTTATTTGCGAGGGAATCGCTGCCAGCCTGGATATGCCAAACAGATTGATTGATGTAAGATTGATTAGCAAACACTATCCAATATACTCTTGACTAGTGACAAAGGAGTTGTAAAACGTATGGTGGGTTTTACAACTCCTTTGTCATGGGTCTTAAAGCATTTTTGAGCAATGTACACAACTCCTATGTCATGAACTTTAAAGTAGAGAAACACATCAAAACATGGTCACGCAAGAATAGCTTTAAAGAATAAGCCCAAAGAATATCCCCAACAGCTTAAGCGCAAAACGCAGCACTTTTTCTTCAGGAGAACCAGTCAGCCAAAAGATCTCGAGGAGCCATCTCGAAAGTGGATTCGGGGCCCGAATGAAGAACAGTAGGAAACTAAGATGGTAGGATACTAAAAGGTTAGCAAGGTAAAAGGTAACAGTAGGAAGCATAATGAAATAGACTTGAGATATCATGAAGTGTCCTTGACTGTGGATTCGGGGCCCGAAAGTGGATTCGGGGCCCGAATGGAAAACAGGAAGAAACTAAGATGATAGGATACTAAAAGGTTAGCAAGGTAAGAGGTAACAGTAGGAAGCAGAATGAAAAAGCCTTAAGGTATCATAGGGTGTCTTGTGACTGTGGATTCGGGCCCCGAAACCGGATTCGGGGCCCGAAACTGGATTCCGGGCCCGAATGAAGAACAGGAAGAAACTAATACGATAGGATACAGGTATCATGAGGTGTCTTGACTGTGGATTCGGTCCCCGAAACCGGATTCGGGGCCCGAATGAAGAACAGGAAGAAACTAATACGATAGGATACTAAAAGGTTAGCAAGGCAAAAGGTAACAGTAGGAAGCACAATGATATAGATTTGAGGTATCATGAGGTGTCTTGACTTTGGATTCGGGCCCCGAAACCGGATTCGGGGCCCGAAAGTGGATTCGGGGCCCGAATGAAGGACAAAAGGAAACTATGAGGGTAGGATACTTAAACGTTAGCAAGGCAAAAGGTGCGGAAGTGTTGAAAGAGTGTTGCGAAGGAGCGAGTGGCGAGTGGGAACAAAGTTGTGGGAACCTTGTGCTTGGGAACCTTGGGGGAACCTTGTGGGGCAAAGTTGTGGGGTCCTTGTGGAACAAAGTTGTGGGAACCTTGTGGGAACCTTGGAGCAAAGCTGTGGGAACCTTGGGAACCTTGGGGGAACCTTGTGGGGCAAAGTTGTGGGAACTTTGTGGGAACCTTGGAGCAAAATTGTGGGAACATTGGGAACCTTGTGGGGCAAAGTTGTGGGAACGTTGTGGAACAAAGTCGTGGGAACCTTGTGGGAACCTATTGGGAACCTTGTGCTTGGGAACCTTGGGGGAACCTTGTGGGGCAAAGTTGTGGGGACCTTGTGGGAACCTTGGAGCAAAGCTGTGGGAACCTTTGGGCAACC